TGTAGGAACCCTTATGTCTCAGGCACTGCCTCTTTTCCTTGCCCCCTCACACATGGTGGCCACATACTGCCAAGGACAGGTGACCACACTAGAGACAGTTCTCACAACCTGAACTTTTCAGGCTGTTTAAAGTTTGTCCCTCTCCATTCAGGAACATGCAATAGCAACAACAGAAAGAGCACCAGGGATGATGGAAATGAACACAGGAGCAACCCCATCCCCTCCCAGGCCCTGCTCTGAGTCAGCCTCAAGCCACTATCATGAGACTGAACTCATGGTTCCCCTTGGGTCTCTGAGGTGGCAGCAAGAGATGGTCAGGGAGAGGGAAGGAGAGACAGGAAGACAGAGAGTGAGGGCCAGGACCATGACAGAGATTGGGGAGAGAAAGAGAGACAGGGAGCAGAGACCCAAGGCAAGAGACAGAGACATGGAGAAGCCAGCGAGGCAGGGTGTGCCGGCCTCTGTCTCGGTCCTCATGCCCCCACATGTGTTTGCTGTATGCTACCACTGGACACAGTTGTCTGTGGGTTCCCACACTAAGGTGGCTCCTGCTGATCTGCCCTGATAAATATCCTTGTGTCAACCTCCCTGCTGGCTGTCACTTTCCCAGCTTGCTGCAATGAAAGCTGTGTTCTTCCTGCTGGTAGTGCGCCTGCTACACCTAGTAACCTCCCACCAATCAGCACTACCCCTGCAGACGGAAATCACAGCCCCGACTGTGGCCTGTGGCCCCCTCTGCAATCCCTCACACATGCACCTGTGCACCCCACAAGAGCAGGGACCCAGTCCTGGTCCCCCACACAGAGCTAGAACAGAGCCTGGCTCAGCCACTGTTTGTTTGCATTGAATTTAATCTATGCCTATCTCACAAAAGAGGGATTACACACAGGAGTTTCCAGAACTGATTTCTTTCTTGCTGTCCCTAGGGTTCCGGAACCTATGTGACTGTGCTTTTGTGGCTGCTATCAGCCATCACCAGAATCTGGGGGTGGGGGTTGGGGGGAGGGTGAGGTCACATACAGGTGGGGGCCACGGGTCAGACCTGGGGGAGGAGTGAGGCTTCCTCCCCTCCCCTCACTGTGCCCAACCTCTATTGACTCATTTTCAAGCCACTGAGTGCGGATGTTTGCTGATTAAAAAAAAATTTAGGGTAAACTTTTTTTAATTCTGAAAAACACCAAGAAAACAGTAAAAGTCACATTGAATGATGTCAGCAAAAAAAAAAAAAAAAAGCAGTGTTATTTTGTGTGCATTTTATTCCAGAATGTTCCCTAGGTATAAAAAGTATGTTAAAATAGAGGGAATAATTTCCCGTTTCACTTGCTTTGGTTTGTCTCTCTACATTGTTCAGTGCCGGTGGCCCCCGGCAGGCCTGGTTTATTTAATAATCCCCTTTGCTGAACATTGAAGTTGGTCCCACTGTGGGTGGGGAGGCTGTTCGGTGCTGCTGTGGTGCACCCGTAGACACAGCCCACCCCCCTGCACAGGGACTGCTGAGCAGGAAGCCGAGATCAACAGAACGAGCCCAGCCACCCTGATCCTGCACCCAACACCTTATTTTACAGGTAAGAGATCAGAGATAAAACTAACTTGTCCGAGGTCAACCCCAAGGCAGTGGTAAACACCAAGTCACCAGGAGGTTTTCTCCAAACTTCATTATCTTGTCAAGATTTTACAAGAGAATCCATATTTTTTTAACATATTTGGTACAGGATCTCACTATGCAGCTCAGACTCATAGTGATCCTCCTGTTTTCAGCCTTCCCCTTCCAGCGCTGGGATTACAAGTGTGCACCATTATGCCTGGACTCAATGGCTGGTTCAGCAAGCCCAGGAGAGAGCTGGCATGGCATGTGGTGCTGGGGTATCAAACCCCAGTCTCTGCACTTGCCCAAGCAGGCACTTAGTCCGCTGAGCTATCTCACCGGCCCAAGAATCCATAAGCTTTAACAGGGACCTGAGTGAGACGCAGCCAGGACCTAATAACCATATTGCTCACAGCAGACATTACTAATCAATTGTCACACCCTCTTCTGCTAAAGCAAGGCCCTGGAAGACTTCAACAGCCATTCCCTGGCAACTGGAATGGGCACAAGAGTGATGTGTTTCTGCCATGCTGGTGCGGCCTCCTTAGGCAAAAAGGAGCCTTTACACACTGAGAACCTGAGCCTGTGAGCCGCAGTCTGAGTTCTTGTTTTCCTTCTTTCTTTTGAGCCAGCAACAGATGGTGCATCCTCCTGGTTCCCATTGGTCCCATCCTGCCTGCCATGACCTCTCAGCAGTCCTCTCTGGCTTTCTACATGGCCAGTCTTCCCAGAGAAAGATGCTCCCTCATCTCAGCTGGGCCAGAGACTCTGAGCGCAGCTCGAAGGCCACACCGTGGGCCATGCTTTTGGGCTGAAGGAACTCGGCAGGTCACCAACCTTCTTCCAGATCCTACCTCATCTGGGAAAGGGGGTCAGGACACCCTCAGATTCTCCTCTCTGGGCTTCAGTATAATGATCTACAGAAAAAATGGCCTTTTCCATTTTGCCTGCTTTCTGGGTCTGGGTACCCATCTTTGACTTAATGTGAAACTCTCCCTGCAACCCCAGCTTCCATGGTCAGCAGTCATCCTCCATGCTTTAGACAAGGAAATGCTCTGAGCTGAGCCCAGCTGGCACATTCATGGAGGTATTCAAGTACCCCCTGGGGGAGCAGGAGAGAAGGTCTGGAATGAGGACACAACACAAGAAAGAGCCTGGACCTGGGAGAGATGAAGCTCAGACCTAAAAGCCACTGGCAGGCTGAGGAGGCTGTGGTACCAGGGGCAGGTGCGGGCTCCATGTGTGTGGGCTTGAGGTGCCACGGTTTACACATGAGCATCCTCAGAGCCAACTAGCGGAGCAGTGCCAAGCACAGGAAGCCAGGGTTGCTGCAGGATCAGCCTGGCACCAGGCCCATGTGCCCACAGAGGGACATTGTCTGTGGGCAGCAGGCATGGCCAGTCAAAGAACTGTGGCAGGGGCCTATGCCTCTCTGGAGATGTGCCCAAGACATGGGGAGGGTCTTTCCGGGGAGACTGCTGGCTCCGAAGCACCTGCTTTTGTAGGCAAGGCAGGATGGCGAGAGCTTTTTGCCTTCTTCCTCTTGGCAGCTTCAGGAAGGTAAGATCAGCCAGACCACATTGTTCGACCTCAGGATGCTCACAGCCTCTCTCAGGCCCCTACAGAGGGAGATGGCTGCACAGTGGCCATCCAAGCCCTATGCGCAGGGCCATGTTTCTAGGCTGAAGTCCAGCAACAAGGACAATTCCCTTGAGTCTGCCAAAAACCCATGTTCGCATCACCGCTGGTCCACCACTGTCCCGGGGCCACAGGGGAAGGATAGTGTGGGGTTATGAGTGTGTGGTGTGCACAAGATTACTACTTAGAGTCCCTTCTACCAGCCCTGGCTATATGACCTTGAGAAAGTCATGCCCTTTCTGAGCCTCTGATGCCCCAAGCAACACATGAGTTCCCCTCTGGGTGACTGTAAGGGGCAGGAAGCAAGGCTTTGTGCCAGCAGCAGTGACTGGGCCTTTGTCCCTTTGTTCATGGCCATACCTCATCTCTGCTTAATTCCATACATGTTCACTACATTGGGAAGGTACAGACAGACAGCAGTGTCCACCACTATGGAATGAAAGGACGAAAGCCAGAGTCCCACACCACACGACTTGCCCCTCAGCGCATGCTCCTGGAAGCCCAAGAGGAAGCACAGCTACTACCTTCATTCCACAGGTGACATCCTGGGGCATGGTGGCATCTATGTGTGATCCCAGGACTCTGAGAGGTTGAGACAAAAGAATCACAAGTTCAAGCCAAGCCTGGGCAATTTAGTGACTTAGCAAGACCATCTCTCAAAATAAGAAGTAAAAAAGAGCTGGAGCTGCAGCTCAGTGTAAAGCCTTGGATTCAATCTCTGGAATACAAAAAAGAAAAAGAGGAGGAAGAAGAAGAAGAGGAGGAGGAGGAAGCAAAGGAAGAGGAGAAGGAGAAAGAGAAGGAAGAGGAAGAGAAGGAAGAGGATGAAGAAGAAGAGGAGGAGGAAGAGGGGGAGAAGAAAGAGGAGGAAGAGGAGGAGAAGGATGAAGAAGAAGAGGAGGAGGAGGAAGAGAAGGAGGAGGAGGAGGAGGAGGAGGAGGAGGAGGAGGAAGCGAGCAGCAGCTATGGAATCTCAGGAAGACAGAACACGTTGCCCAGGGACACAAAGAAGTGATAGAAATGGGTTGCGAGCCTGTCCTCCTAAGGGAATGGAGTAATAGGGGATGTGTCTCCTTGGATGAAGGCATAAGGATTAAGCTAGGCTATTGCTTCCTTTAACTCAAGCAAATTATCTGGACTAAGCTGCTGCTATGGTCTCTCCACAAAGCTCGTCCTTTTGCAAGCAATCACAGTGGTGATGGCCACAACCATGAGGAGTCCCATTTCACAGATGAAAACGCTGAGGTTCAGACAGACAGTGGAACTGGCCCCAAGTCACACAGCATGGAAATGGTGGAGGTATGACTTAAACCCAGGCCCTCCCATGACTGCCCAGCTAAGGAGACATTTCCGGATGGGTTTTGAAGTCAGGGTTCTGCTTCAAATCCTGGCCCTACCACTTGCTGACCTCAGTAAAGTCAGGATAACCAGCTGGCCTTCCACGGGGACGTTCCTGGGGTGCCAGGTCTGGGGTGGCACCTGCGTGATGGAGGCACACATTCATCATCACCACCAGTCTCGCCATTGTCTTCCTGCCTCCCTGCTAGGCTCTCCCTGTGCCCAGGCCCCACCCAACCCTCTGGCCAGCCTGGACCCTCCTTCTCCAAACTTCAGGAAGCTGCAGCTCAGAGCTGCCTCCCGGATGGGCTCTGGTTCACCAGGAGCTGTAAATATTTACCTTGGAGACCTCAGCCCAGCCCAATGCCCTCACCCACCTGCACAGGGTAGCTGCCCAGATATAAGGCCAGGTCTCCAGACCTACTGCCAGGCAGGGAGCAGAGGCCCAGGACGCCGGCGTGTCCAGGTACATGTGTAGGGAGGGGCTCAAAGCTCAGCTACCAGGAAGATTCTGCTGGGGACACCTGGAGACAGGGCTCAGGTAACCTTCCTCCCCTGCGACCTAAGAGGGTCAGGGCTGGGGACAGAGAGGTGCCAGCTCCCTCAGGCTGAAGACCAAAGTGTGATGAAGGGCTGGGGCAGACTGAGTCTTTCACAGCTCTCATCCCAATGACATAAACTCACTCTGTATGTACTGAATGCTCTGCACTCAGCCTGCGCTGTGGGAACGGTGAGAAAAGAGAGTGACCTCAGACACACGGGCCCTCAAGGGTCTCCCAGTGTGACCAACATAGTACATGCTGTGCTCAAGAAGGGTGCAGAGACTGAGAACCACATGTGTACAGGTTGGGACCTGGGGAGGCAATGTCACAAGGCCCCTTGCTCCCCTGAGCTCCTCTATCCAGGGGCTGAGCAGTGTGTGGGTAATGGAGGGCACTCAGGCCAAGATGTTGGGGATACAGAGTGGGAGCTCCCTAGGCAATGGGGTGGGCTGGAAGCCATCCCTTTGTCCTCTAACTATGATCACCTCAGGGCTCCTTCAATCCTGTAGTGTACTTTACATACTACAACTAGTCGCCTTTTACAGATATGCAAACTAAGGCTCAGAGAGGGCCAGTCATTTGTCCACAATCACAGAGCCAGTAGTAGAGCAGCCCCCTACTCCTAAGTCTATATTTCTGCTCTACTTTTGGACACAAAGGAAGGGTGTCCTGTAGCTTGACAGGGTCCCCCCAGCCCAAACCTCTTCGCCTTAGCAGGCTCGTACTCCTGGTTCTTTCCGGGCATTGAAGGCCCCTCAGCTTCCCCCACACACACCATTTGGGAAGCTCCGTGGGGGCTGACAGGCACACAGGGCACAAGCTGGACAGCTCAGGGCCACAGGGGCTGAGGCTCCATCCCACAGCAGGCACAGAGGGGCCAGAAGGCCAGAGCACCCAGCTCCTCCCCCAGAAACGCCCACAGCCTCCTCCCTGCCTTTCTCCCCTTGGTTCTAAGAAACCACCCACCCCTCCCAACCCTCACTAGTGCAAGACTAAGCTACCAAAACCACCCTACACCACTGAGTCCCACCCGAGCCCTCCTCCTTCTGCTTCCAGCCATCCTGCTGGCCCACACAGCATTTCTCTAAGCCCAGCCATGGGGCCAAGCCTCTGACCTCTCTGCCCAGCTACCTGAGCTCTGTGTGCTCATCCTAGGATCTGCCACCTGTCAGCTGCTGCTCACTGATACCTACCTGGAGCAATGGCTGTCCCCTGGACCTTCAGCCTCCTCTGTGGTCTGCTGGCTGCCACCTTGGCTGAAGCCACCCTCAGCCCTCCCGCAGTCCTTAACCTCGGCCCAGAAGTCATCAAGGAAAGTAAGTCTGAGGCATCCCCAGCCTCACAACCTGATAAGGGGCAGATGAGCAGCCCTCCAGAGGGAAAGGGTATTCCCTGTCCCTGGGGGTACACAAAGCATGGATGGGCTCCAGGACTTTGGGGGGACAAGAGAACATGAGTTATAAAAGTTCAGGATATCTATGATATCAAGATCTACTTAAACTGATTTCAACAAACCAGTCCTCAGGGGTCTGTTGCCTACAGAAAGGGCGTGTGGCCACAGCGTGCAGTGACACAGCCCCTGCCCACGCTGAACTCCAGCATCAGAACACCTTGAGTGTGAGGCCAGCCTGCTGCCAGCAGCAGAGCAAATGCCTGACCAGGAGTCACACACATAACTTTGTCACTTCCCAGCTCTATGACCATGGCCCAGGCCCTGAGCCTCAGGCCAGGGACCTTCTTGGCCTGGTGGACACTTCCAACAGGACAGTCACTGGCCAGGGCCTTCTGCGCTCTGCAGGGGCTTCTCACCCAGGTGCTTCTCCACTGGGCTGAGTCATCTGGGCAGGCTGACCCACGCAATGCAGGATGAGCAGCCAGATAGTCCAGCCAGTGTGACAATCAAAAATGTCTCCATACACTGCCACATGTCTCCTAGGAGACAAAATAAACCTGGTTGAGAAATTCTACTTTAAAGAAGAATTTCCCCTGAGCAGGGAAAGCTGTCAGCTCTGCAGGGCTGCCTGAAGGACTCTGAGAACCAGACCTCTACGTTCCAGGGACCTAGGCACAGCCAAAGGATGGGTCCTCAAGAAGAAATGAGGGGCTGGCCAGACAGCTCGGTGGATAAAAATGCCTGCTTAGGCAGATGCAGGGACTAGGGTTTGATCCCTGGCTCCACATGCTGTGCTGGCCCTGCCCCTGGGACACACTGAGCTGGCAACTGAAACTGGGCCTGGTGGTGTGCACCAGTAATCCCAGCACTTGGGAGGCTGCAAACAGAAGGATCACTATGAGTCTGATCTGTGTCGTGAGACTCTGTACACCCTGTACTAAATTTTAAAAAGGAAAAAGAAATGAAGCAGAGAGCTCTGGGAAGCACTGGTAGGCAGTAGCGCCCTGGGCCCACACTGTGACTCCTAAGCAAGGGCATTGAGCTGGAAGGAGCTTGCGCCTGTCCAAACCACTGTAGGGACTGCCAGGCAATATACGAGCTAGTGCCAGTCAAGAGGCAGAAGCTGCACCATCATCCCAGCAGTTCTGTTCAATATAAAGAATTAACAAGAGATTAAGAAGTGGGATATTGGCTAAGAAGGCAAAGGAGAAGCTGAAAGGGTACCCCAGGATGAAGAGGGCACCCGAGACAAAGACAACTCAGAGGCAGAGAATCCTGCCCATGAGTAATTGGAATGGGTGTGGTTGAAGAGTACTGGATGAGTATGGGAGGACAAAAGCACCCTCACTGAGCTGTCCAGGGCCAGAGTTGGTCCACAGAAGCCAAGGCGAAGGAAAGCAGACAGCCACTGCCACGGAGCCCAGGGACCTTTCCCGGAAGTTGCCTAGAGGAAGCGCGGCTGATAACTTCCTGGAAGGCCATTGCTGGGACCCAGCTGGAAGCTAGTCAGGCCCCACAGACTTACCTGTTGTCCTTGGGGGCACTGACAAAAAACAGCCCTGTGCAATGGGATGATGACCCCATGGGAGCCCAGACAAAGGAGCACATCAGGACTTCTCCCAGATCCCTCCAGAGCCATTAATGTCGGGGCTCACATCATGCCAACTGGCAAAAAGAGGTATTTACAAGGCCGAGCTCCACGATCGCAGAGCAGGCAAACAGCCACAGGCAGCAGCCCCGAAGTCTGAAACACGGTGGGGACATGAGGCTGCATGACCTGCCTGAGGGTGGGTGGAAGGAGCTGGGGCATTTACACACCAACCAAAGGGGCCCTGGCTGCTGGAAGTCTGGCAGGAACCAACCCCGGACTTCTGGCTCAGGGCCCCTGCTCCTGGCTCTTCCTTCCTCAACCTAGAACCCAAGGCTGGGGACACCAGGATGTGAGTGCTGGCAAAAGGTTAGCAAGTGTGCTTTGGTTCTGACAGTTCCCCCCAACAGAACCTTGGAGGCCCCTGCCTCTCGGCTCTGGGAGGCTTTGGCTCTGGTTGATGGGGGGATTCTGAGCCTCACTCTTTTTGTAAAAGTAAGCTCCATGGGCCACAGAGCTCAAGGCCACATCTACACCACAGAGGTTGGCATGGGGAGGTTGTGCCCTTATTTGATGTCTGGCCTGGGGAGTCCTCCCCATCTTGGAAAACCTACCCAGCCATCCTTCTGCTGCCTCCTACTGGCCCCTAATCCCTGGATCTGCTTCCAGAGCTGACCCAGAAGCTGGAGGACCACAATGTGACCACCATCCTACAGCAGCTGCCACTGCTCAGTGCTATGCATGATAATTCAGCCTGGGGGGTCCCACTGCTGGGCAACCTGGTGAACAGCATCCTGAAATACATCATCTGGTGAGTAGGGAGGGGAAACACCAGGACCAGTTCCCGCCCCAACACACTTCGCATGCTTAGTTGTCAGTCAACAAACATCAGTCCATGTCAGCTCCATGCTGGACACAGTGGTCATAGACTAAGTGTATCCCTGGAAAAACTCCCAGAGGTGTTAACAATGCCATAAGACAATGACGCAGGAACCATATGAGGGCAACCCCAAAGACGGTGTCCTGGAATAAAAGAGTGAGGGGACAAGACATTACTTCTCTGGGAAGTGACAGTTGAGGCAGAGATTCAAAGAAACCATCATTCCAGGCAGAGGAACCAACCTGAACAGAGGCACAGAAGGGTGAGAGTCAGCCAGAATAGCTGGAGCTCAGACCCCATGGCAAGGAGAGCTCAGCAGGGTCAGGTCACCAAAGATCTTCAGAGTCAGCCTGATTGTCACCTCCTAAAAACCAAGGAACCATGATGGGGAGTGGCTAGTTATTGGGGTCCAGCTGCTGGAGAAAGGAACATGGGAAGGCAGCATGGGAGTGGGCTTGGGGACAGAACTCAGTTGAACATGAGGCCTGATTGTCACCTCTTGCAAATCCCATCCAGGCTGAGGGTCACCTCTGCCAGCATCCTCCAGCTGCAAGTCCAACCCTCACCCTATTACCAAGAGATGATGGTCAGGATCCCCGTGAACATGGTGGCTGGACTCAACACGTGAGTGTCCCCTCAGTAAGGCACAGTGGGCCTAATGAGTTTATCTACTCATCCCCTTGCCATGAAGATTTCTGGAAAAAAGCAAGTCCCAAGCAAAGAGAAGAGCAAGTGCAAAGGCAGAGGTGTAATTGCCTTGCTCTAAGAATGGTGAACGGGGAAGAAGGAGGCAGGCGGTGGGAGGTGAGGTCAGCAGGCAGCTGAGGCCAGATTGTGCTGAGACCCGGGAGCCAATACAGACGCAGCTTTGGCTGTGACACAGGTGGGAGTGATGGGAGGCTAAGCAGAGGATGGGCGTGACCAAGCTTAACACTTGTAGAGGCTCTCTCTGGCTGTGGTGCAGAAAACAGCACAGGTGCAAGACGAGAGCAGAGGCAGGCAGGTGTCCAGAGGTTCTGCCGCGGTGATGGCAACGATGGTTGCGACTGGCTTCGGGCAGGGAGGTGGAAAGAAGTGCTCAGGTTCTGGGTGTGATTAAAAGGAGGGTTTCCTAGTGAGTTTGGGGAGAAGGGTCCAAGGCTGACTACAAAGTTTCTGCCTGCCTAAGTCCAGCATGCAATGGCCAGCAACCCGGCCAACTGTGGGGACCACCCAGAATGCAGGGCTATGAATGCTATCTACTGCAGAAGTCCGGAGCTCTCACACGCGGGAAGGAGGGAGATCAGGACAGCAGGAGTAAAGAACAGGAGGAGGGGTAACTGGTGCAGTGGAAGCATAAGAGAAGGTGCCAGGAGACGACACAGCAGCATTGTCTAGCAGGCCAGGCCTGCACTTACACCCCGGGGCCTTCACCACAGGCCCCTGATTAAGACCATCGTGGAGTTCCACATGGAGTCTGAAGCCCACGCCCTGATCAGGGTGGAGAAGAGCAACAGCATCCCCAGCCGCCTCGTTCTCAGCGATTGTTCCAGCAGCGACAGCAGCCTACGCATCCGCCTGCTGCACAGGTGAGTGAGGGGTGGCGGTGGCCTCACCCACTTCACAGCGAGGGAGCAGGGAGGCCGGAGAGGGAGGGGACCTAGTGCTTCTTATCCTTGGTCTGGGCTCTGCCTTGGGTGCCTCCTTGGTTTCTGCTCCTGAGAACGTTGCATTGTCCATGAGTGGCCTGAGTCCCCTTTCCACTCTCCTGCCCCATCCAACAACTCCCCTGGCCTTGAGCAAGGTCTTCGCTCCCTGACATGTGATGTTCTGTAACCCTTCATAATCTGTCTCACTCCTCTCTCAAAGGCTCTCCTTCTTGGTCAACTCCCTAGCGAAAAAAATCATGAACCTCCTGATGCCAGCCCTGCCCCAACTAGTGAAAACAGAGGTGAGCGGACCAGGTGTCTGTGCCCTGTGTGGACTCCGCCCCCTGGGGGACAAGAGTGAAACTGCAGGCTGCTTCTGCGGGTATCTCAGGGTGTGGGACACTGCTTTAGTTGAAGAATTCATTCACCAAAGCTAAGAGCAATGGATTGAACCACTGACAAGCTTGAGGTCAAGGTCATGGAACTCCCAGGTCCACCAGGAGGTCTTGACCAGGGAAGTGCTGATAAATTCTAAACAACTTTCTCTGGAGATACTGAGGGCAGGGAGCCCTTATTTATAGATTTTGCTGAGCTCCCTGGTATAAATACTCCCTCCAGGACCAACTTTAGACTGCCAATGTGATGGCACTTGGAAGAGTGGGGAAAAGACATGCTGGAGCACCCAGTATTACAGTATTTCCACTAAGCGGATACAACAGAGCAATAGATACAAGGGCAATAAATACAGGAGAATAGAGGAAAACGCTCAGGAAGCAATGAACTGAAGTTTGTAGTAAATGCATGCTCCTTGTAAGTTTATACAGTTTAATTTTTAATAATGTATGCGCTTAGCACCCAACTCAGAAGTCCCTGAAAATTCAATAACTAGTCCTTAGAACTGGCCCAGGCTGTTGCAGCATTCAGCTTTCTCACAGTACGTGCCAGGTCCTGTTGGATTTCTCTTTCCAAGCTAGTAAACACGGGTGAATCTCATCTTATTTTGTCACTTGGAAGCATCCACATGGACAATTCCAAGATGCATTCCCAGCAGCAGGCCGCCCTTCCTGTGATCAAAATACCTTGTCAAATTTTATACTATGGCTTTTTTCTTGAAAAGCTGATATGATAACTAAAATAATTGGAGGAATCTCCCTACAATTCTTCTGCTTAACCCAGCAGCTGCTTTGGTGCTCAGCTTCCAATTGCCACCCATGTGCACTTACATTTTTACACAGCTACGCTTGGTGACAGCCTTTAAATCAAATATGATTCTACATGATTATATGACTGTATAATAGCCACTGCCCTTACAATAGCTGCATCATATTTAATCATTTGCTAAATCATCCCAGGGAATCTTTCATCTTAGTTGTGTGACTTTTTATTAAAAATACTTTAAATCAACAGTAGCAACATTTAACACAATATTTTATATAAATAATGGGACTTCAGGAAGAACATTTTTTAGCATAACAGGTTTGTGCCTGCACCAAATTGCCTTCCATCCCTTACTGTCAAGAAAAAGTGTAATCTTCTGCCTCAGTCTTGTGGAATCAGACATCTATCATACAACGCAGAAGCATGTGCTTGCTTTTGTATTTGTCAGAGTTAAGAGTTTTGATTTCTGCTCCTTCAATAGTAATGCTGGGGCTGGTGAGATGGCTCAGTGGTCTAAAGCACCTACTTAGAACAAGCTAAGCCAAGCAAAGCAGAGGGCCCGCGGTTCAATCCCCAGCACCACATGCCAGCCAGCCCTGCCCCCTGGTGGGCTGAGCTGGTCATACACACACTAAATACATAAATAAATAAATATTAAAAAAAATAGTAATGCTTAAGAGAATCATATTTAGTCACACAAAAAAAATATTTGGGAACCTAGAACTTGAACCTAGGGTCTTTACCCTGAGCTATGGCCCTGATCCTTTTCTATTTTTTGTTTTGAGACAGAATTTCACTAAGTCCCAAGATCTTGGGGTCCTCCTACTTCAGCCTCCCAAAACTTCTGGGAATACAAGTGTGCACCATCACACCTGGCTAGAAGATCTATTATTTTAATAGGCTAAATATCTCTATATTGGAGAGGTCAAAGAAAAGTAACCGAATAATCAAAAACTAAGGCTGGGGTAGAGCACTTGGCTACCATAAGGGAAACCCCAAGTTTAATCTTCAGCACAAAAAGAAAAAGAAAGCTCAAATGAGATTTTGTTTTTATTTTGTCTTTTTGAGACAGGGTTTCACTGTGCAGTTCAGGATGGTCTCGAACTGTGATCCACTGCTTCAGCCTCCCAAGTGTTAGGATGATAGGCATATGCCACCACACCTGGCTCAAATGAGATTTTATAGGGTTGATTCCATTGATGCAAGGGACTTTTCTCCAGTACCTTGGAAAACAGTGAGGAAAAAAGAAAGAGGTAGTAGGCAAGGGAAGAGAATGAATATAAATGGTAGCATCAAAGTCAAGGCAATGCTTTGCTATTGTGAGAATTTTGAGATCCTTAACTGTTAGTCAAAGTACATATCCAGAGAGGTATTTTTTAATGTGACATGGAAGAAAATAATTTGATAAAATTGGGCTTTTCTTATATAAGTTTTTTTCAAGGATTTTATTCTTTATTTAAGGTGGAATTTCTTAGCTGGGCATGGTGGTACACACCTGTAATCCGAGCACATTGGGAAGTTGAGGAGGAGGAGGAGGATCTCAAGGGCGAGCCCAGCCTGTGAAAGTTAGAAACTTAGCAAGATCCTTCCTCAGAGGGGACAAGGGATAGCTCAGTAGAATAAGTGCTTGCCTGGAAAGCACAAGGTCTTGAGTTCAATCCCCGGTACCACCAAAAAAAAAAAAAAAAAAAAGATCCTTCCTCAAAATAAAATAATTTAAAGGAGTTGGAGATGTAGGTCAATGTGAAATCCCTGGGCCTAATATCTAGAAATACATACGTGTGTGCATGTGTATACAGGCAGGAATGGCTTAAGGTAGGGCTAGTTGTAATTTTTTTCCCAACCTCCAGGAAAATCATATTTTATCTGGCATCATATTTTAATAGATAGAATATATTTTTCTCTAGAGAAATGCAGTGGATGCCAGGGCAACCTTCCTTCCAGCAGCAGGTGGTCCCTTGGTAGAGCATGCTGGTGTCTCTGAGCCAGTTCCTCCATCCTGTCTGGGTCTTAGTTAGTAAAGCAATGACTAAACCATTGCAAAAGCCCTCAGCGCCAGGGGCTGCAGTGGACTCTGGGGTCAGGTGGCTGGGGGAGTGGACATCCCAGAGTCCTCCACCCCTAGAACAAGCACTTGGCTGGCCTGGGGCACAGCAGTGAGACTCCCCCTAGGTGGGCAGGTGGGCCCAGTGCAGCAGTGCTGACTCCTCACTAACGCAGCCCCTCCCTTGCGCTGTTGCAGCTGTGTCCTGTGATCAAGGCTGCCTTTGATGACATGTTTGCGGACTTCCTGCGGCTAGCAAGGGGTAGGTGTTCGATTCCCACCCTACCTTTTCATCCACTGCAGAATAAGCCTCTAAACTTCCTCCCTGGAACCTGAGCAGCAGCTTGGCCCCAGTAGCAGGTGGGATGACACAGGTTGATCCCTGCCCAGGACCAGCAAATGAAAATATACCACAACTGTGACCTCCTGGGCATCTTATATATTCAAGGTTCCATGTGAGGCTAGCAGGCACACAGATAAATCCAAGTTCAAGTCCCAGCCCTCTTACTTGCTCCTGGGCTTTAGGAAAGTCATCCTGCTTCCTTATCCTCAGTGTCCTTGACTGAAAATGTGGCTTATCTACCCTGCCCTCCAGATGGCTGGTAAGGATTAAAAGTTTGCAGGAAAAGTCTAGACATAACAGGAGTTCTGCCTGCGCAGGGACGTGCTTATACTTGCTGAATGAGTGGGGGGAAGAGAGGGATTAGGGGAGGGAGGGGAAGGTGGGTGGGTGATACCGTGCAGTGGACGCAGTGTGCTAAAAGGGAAAAGGGAACAAGGGAAGAGATGAGATGTGTTCACCCAGGAGGAAGGTCACTTCTCTCTCTCCAAGAGCAGCAGAGATGGAAGGACATGACCTGGCTATTTACATATACTGGCTCGCCAACTCCTTGAGCAGTGCATGGAGCAGTAGTGATTACCCCACTCACATAGGGAGAAACTGAGGCCCTAAGAAATTGGGTCACTTATCTTAGCTCACAGAAGAAGAAATTACTAGTAGGGCAAGCTTGAACCCAATGTCCCCAGTTCCAAGTTTATGTGATTCAGATTTCCCTGTGACTTGCTACACCTGCCTTGCACGTAAGGAGCCTGGGGGTGGCAGCATCACTCTGCAGTAGAGTACTCGTTCAGTCTACTCCAGACCCTGGCCTGGAAAAATAGAAAAGAGATTCGGAGACTGGAAGAGCCTAGCCAGAGTCACTGGGGTTTGAATCCAAGTCTGTCTGGCTCCTCTGCTCCCCGGAGTTAGGGTCAAGATCAGAATCAGGTCAGGGCTTCTGGCGGGAAAGAAGGCAGCCAAAGGCCTCATCCTGCCCCGCTTGCCTCAGGCTAAGGGCTAGAGAGATGCCACTGCTACCTGGCGGCCAAATGGGGAATCCTGCCGTGAACACAGGAGAAAGGTGCCCCAATGGCTGCACACTTGGGGTGCAGGTGCTGCCTGTTTCTAGGCGCAGGATGCAGTCTGCTGGGAAGATAGAGAGTTAAAAATAGCAGTTCTGGTCACAGTGTGACCAAAAACAAGTTACATCTCTGCTCTGAGCTCTGGCTTCCCCACCTGTGCAGCAGGGGCAATAATAGGACCTAGCGGCAAGATCACTGTGGGCATGGGGTCTTCACCGTCATCCTTCTTAACATCACTGATACCATGTCTTCCCTCTGGCTCCTCCCTCTTTCCCCTCCCTGGTGCAATACTGAGTTACTGGAAGCAGCCACGAACCACCTGTCCACACTACACACCAGCCTCACAGAATTTTCTTCTTGCCCCCAAGCAGTGCCCATCCCCCTCAGTCCTGGAGGCCTGGAGTTTGAGCCCCTGTCTCTCATCATTGAAGAAAATTTCATCCAGCTTGATCTAGGGGTGAGTGTCAGCAGTCACCCCGGGGACTGCACTGTCTTTTTCTGGGCCCCAGGGATCAGACACAATGAAGAAAGACCCTGGTCACACCAGGGCACCCAGGCTGCCTTAGAAGTTATCACAAGCTGGGCATGTACCATACAAACCAACCTGAGCAAGGAAATCCTGCGGGTGGGACCTGAGGGCAGCACAGAATGAGTACCCCGGGCCCCGCCTATGCACAGGGCCCTGGCCTTTCTCCTGCAGAGCCCCAAAGTGCTAATGACATTGCAACAGAGCAGAGGATGGTAACACAGACTCAGGATCACACAGACCTAAGTTTTTCTCCAGTTATATGATTCCCAACTGTATAAATCCAGGCTAGTTTCTTCACCTCTCTAAGCCTCCAATCCCTCACTGGTAAATGCAAATAATAATGGCCACTTGGGATAGAATAAAATGAGACCATGGGGGACCTGGTAGACAGAAAGGACTAGTAAGTGTCAGCTCTGTAAAATGTGGGCCTGCACCGCCTTGCTGGGACTGGACCTCCTGGGGCCCAGGGAAGCAGGGTGGCAAGAATCCCAGAGCATCTCCAAGGGATCCTTTCAGAAACAGCAGCGTCAAACATCTCCATCCATCTCATTGCTGTTTTGGATTTTCCCTTCATCTAAAGGGAAAATTCAGTCTGAGGTATCTGAGAAGTTGAAAGACAAAAGAAAAGCAAAATATGCATGTTGAAATCCAGATGCATGCTGGGAGTCACAGCCACTAAGGAGGCTAAGGCAGGAGGATCACTTGAACCCAGAAGTTCAAGGCCAGTGTGGGCAACATAGAGAGAACCATAGATAATATATTTAAAAAAATATATTATCTATGCTGAAAAGTAGTTAAAGTCAGAGATTATCTGGGATGTAGGCGGAGGAGAGACTTCCAGGCACCTGCCATAACTCACCGCCATGAAAGGCACTGGATGCTGAATTCCACACAAACTCACTCTCAAAATAACATTAATCCACAAGTCACAACCAGCTGTGAAAGTCCCCCCCCCATTGCCCCTCAACTGCCAGGTTACATGTCCAACACATGAGCTGAGGGCGACACCTTCAGTCACCTGCCCTGGCTGAGGGAGCTGTGGCCTTACAGCTGGAACCTGCTCCCCACCTTTTCTCTTCAGGCCAAGGTGCTGGACTCAAAGGGCAGGGTGACTGCAAAGTTCAACAACTCAGAGATGCCTCTGACCGTGCCTGCCCTGGGCAACAAAGCCTTCTGCTTCGCCGTGCGGCAGGATGTGGTAAATGCTGTGGTGGCCGCCCTGCTGCCTTCGGAAAAACTTGTGATCCCGCTGCATTATGTGGTGAGCCTCGCTGGGGCAGAGGAGGGGCCTCTGCTTCTCATCTGCTAAGTACAGGGGACAAAGTGTCTCTGGACTCCTGGGCAGGGCTCCCCTATTGGCCTAGGAGTAAATTCCTCTAGTGATGGGTCCTGGCTGGAAACGCCCCTTCATATTCGATTCTGGCCCACTTCTGCCCCCTGCGCCACCTGTGTCCACCAACTAATAGTGCTAGGGAGCCAAAGGGGTATCCTAGACACTGAGTGGTCTGGGGATAGCAGTTACCTAGCTTCCTGCCACTGTGCAAGCCACAACAGTCACAGCTGAGTGACCAGGGCCCTGTCTCCCCCTGAGCCCAGGAGCCACTGCAATCTTAGAATCATTACTACCACAGCTAGGCAGAGCGGAGCCCACACATCCAGCACCAATAACCAACTCCTCCAGAGCACCTGATAGGGAAGCCCAGGTCCAGGGGAAAAGCGTTGCTCGTAGTTATGGGAGGGTGGCAGGGCTTCAGGTCAGCAGACAGGTAACAGACTCCCAGCCTCTGGGAATTAGAACGTGGGATTGGGCATGCTGAGAAAATGAGAAGAGCTTGGCATCAACCACATGCATGGCCGCAGCGAGAACTGGAGTCACTTCTGCCCCATCCCTGGGAACAGCTTCAGGTCCCCAGCCACGCCTTACCCACAGCAGACATTCACCCTGGACCTCTACAGTCCCAGGCCTAGGGGCTGTTGTTCCATAAGTGATGGACATGTGGCCTGGACCCTGGGACCTCAGCTTTTCTGGGGTTCTAGGAGCCCTTGTTTCCAGCAGTGGTTTATAGGTGTGTGCCTTGCCTGTCCCATTGGTTGACCTGCTCTGGCTTCTGCCCCTCAGCTTCCAGATGTGGCCCGTGAGCTGAAGTCAAGCCTTGAGATGATCAGTAAACAGGTGGGTGGCTCCATTCACCACCTGCAGCTGGCTGCAACCTGGAAAGCATTCTCCAGGGCAGAGAGGGCATGAGGCACTGTCCAGTTCCACCGCTGGGGACCATGGCAGACCAGACCCAGCCTCTCGGAGATTTCCGTCTAGTGGGGAAGTTTGAATCAGGTGATCACACAGATGGCAACTCACTACAAGAGTAGTGACAAAGGACAGGTGCTGGCGTATCGCTGAGCACTAGCCACCACTAGTGGAGACTAGGTGGCTTCCCCAAAGGGAAGGGTACTCCAGACAGAACAGGAGGCCACAGGCTGCCTGTAGGGTCTATGCCAAGGACGATGTGGCTGGGACACAGAGAAGGGAGAGAAGCTGGCACAAGACAGGCGCCAGGCCCCACAGGGCAGCAGGAGGCCTGTGGCCATGGTGAAGCCCTTTGGAGGTCACATGTGAGTCTAATGTCCTTCCAGGCTGCAAACAGGCTGGATGGCACCCAGATAGTGAAGATAGTAACTCAGGACGTTCCCTACCTCGACCTGACCCCGCCCAGCACCACGGCAGCCCAGCAAATCGTCATGGATATTTCTGCCTCAGAAAAAGACCTCCATCCCCTCTTCACCGTGGGCATTGTGAGTTCAACCATCTGTAGCTTGGGCAGCAGTATGCCTGCCCTTCACTGCTCACCCTCTTGGCAGCTAGCCAGCTACAAGATCTGTGGATCAAGTTGGGAGCCTTGGGGACCTGACTTTGACCCTGTGACTTAATGATCAGGAATCATTGGGCAGAAACTCAATGCATGTACAAACAGGGAACTGATTAGATCCTATAGCTGAAAACTCTATGTGACATTAGCTTCAGGAATGGCTGTCTGGGTGCTGTAGTGGCAGCATCTTCATCCCACTTGCTCTATTATGGCAGCAGCCTTTTCTTCCTCTGTGTCACCTCCACCCTCAGACAGACTGCTCACCCAAGCTGCCCTGAACTTATTATAGCCTATCAGACTCACAACCCCAACAGGAAGGTCCTCTCTTCCCAGAAGCTCCAGCAGAAGTCCCAGGAATACTCTCTCTGGATGAGCTTGGGTCATGTGCCCAACCTGAACCAATCTATGTGATCAGAAAAACTGAATATATCAATCTCAACTGGGACACACAGTGGTGGGCACTGGAAGCTGGCTCCCCGCAGACCACCCTGACAGAGAGCAGGAGTGCTGAGTCCCCTTCTAAGGTCTGAGCAGAACTGAGTCACCTCAGGGAGGTTGCCCTGGGTGTTCTCAGGAGCTCTGACAGCTCAGATCACAGAGCTTCCCTCTGGAGAAAGCTGTGGATGCAAGGATGGGGTGGGAATCATAGAGTAAAGCCTCCTGGAAGGCTCCTGGGTAAATCCTCCTGGAAGGCTCCTAGGTGGGGTCCCTAGAAGCAGAGCCTGGGACAAGGTTCTTATCAAGGTAGACAGGGCATACTGCAGGGGACAGCTCTCAGGGCAGAGCAGGGAGGGCTGAACAGAGAACAGCTGGGGACTAGCTGGGGACTCTTAACCCATGGACTGCACCATGTGAGTCCTGCAGAGTGCAGAAGGCCAGCATTTGTACCCTTCATCCTTTAATCCTTGGCCATCCACAGCCCCCAGGAGCAGTGAGGAAGCCTCAGGCTAGCCTCACTGCCTAGTGATCCCTCCATGAAGGGATCAGTGGAAGTACACTGGCCATCAAGTCCAAGCCTTCAGAACAAGGGTGTCCTGGGTGCTGCTGACCTAGAGCTGAGCCTGGAACTCTACCCTCAGATCACCCCAACCAGAGGTCAGGTTGACACCTGTCTTGAGCCTATATTTGGAACTTGGCATAACTCCCAGACTTTCCAAACACACTCAGTGCTTTGTACTTCCCAAGGCCTCATGGTCCTCTTTCTCAGCTTTCTTGTCTCCTCAACAAGGTAACAGACAGGGCCTACCACACAGGAGTCAGGTCGCTGAACATTGTCACATATAGTGCTTAGAGCACCACCCGACACGGTGAGGCCTCCACACTTGGGCTGCACTGTTGTCATCTTCTTTCTCTGCAAGCCTGTATACTGTGTGTTTTGTGGGGTGGTGTGCAGATACTGTCCCATTTATAAGATGCAGAAAGTGAGGCCCAGAGAGGACAAACCCTTCCCCAAGGTCACAGCCAGCATCTGAGATTCAGACGAAGAGAGCTTGGCCCAGGGCCTCCTTGCATGGCCCTCATGCCACGCCAATGCCTCCACTTCAGAAAAATGGAACCCAGGCTCTTCTTGTTTCAGGAAACCAAATCAAAAGTGCAGTTTTACAGTGAAGGTGACCGTCTTATGTTCAACTTCAATGGCATCAGGTAAACCTGAAATCACTGGGAAGATTTCTGCTGATGAAAATGAAGTCACTCTAGGCAAAGGTTTCATCAAACACCCAGCGAGTGGCCCTCTAGGGAGGGCTGCTCTGGTGTGGGCAGGAAGGTGGCCCTGCCTGGGCTCTCCTGCCACTGAGCACTGACAGCCAGAGACAGGAAAAGAAACTCGACAGCCTCACACAGCCACAGGGCAGGCTTACCCTGCCATGGGAATGACCTCAGGCAGCCTGTCCTGAACACCTCCAAGGTGGTAGGAACAGTCACCCCAGACGTGAGCCCCTTGCAGCCAGCATGGAAGTGCCTTCTGTGCCCTGGTGACTCTCTTGTCCCTCAACCCAGAGTAAGCACAGTCTGGGGCCTCCCAGAGTAGACCAGACTCTGGGTATTTTGGGATTTGCCCAGGCAGTGCTGGGGCTTTTGGGATAAATTAGTTGCCAGCATATAAAACTCCATCTATGGGGCCTGCCTGGGTGGGCATTCCTGCTGGGCAATGAATGGCAGAGCTAGAAATCAAGTGCCCCCTCTCAGGATACTGGGCTCCCTCATCCACATTTCGGGTGGGGGGTCCATTCTTTGGGTCACTATTTGCACCCTCACCCAGATAGAATGGAAGCTCCATGAGGCAAGGATTTTATTCCGTTCACCACTGTATCACAAGAGCCTGTGCTGTACCTGGTACATAGTAGGCACACAGTAAATAGCCATTGAGCGGATGACGGGACCACCACAGGGCTCTTCTCATGTATGCCTTCTGTTGCAGTTCTGATAGGATCCAACTTATGAACTCCGATATTGGCATATTCAACGTAAGTATTAACATTATCCTTGATGTGCACAGCAACGGGCTGGAATGGTCCATCCTAAAGAGACATTGCCCAGGGTTTGCTTCAGGAGGAAGTCCCCCTGGGACCCTCAGGAGGGCTGGCTGGCCTCCAGCGATCAGCCAAAGCCAGACCTCCTGGCCACATGTTCAGGTACCTGCTAGGTCCCAACAGCTGAGACACACAGTCCTGCACATGAACCCACACTTGCTCTCTTTCAGCAGTTTTGATCCTGTGTTAGAGAACAAGTCTCCTCCATTCACAGGCCCGTGGTGGCCACAGAAGCCCACCTCAGTGGCCTTGAGAGCCTCTTTCTTCTGGTCCCCAGTTCACAGAGTGAACCTGAGATTTGAAACTGGCTCATGTATCTTTTTAGCCCTGTGTTCATCAGTCTATGTTTTGTTTATTAATTCTTCTCCCTGGTGTTCTAAAGCAAGGTTTTCATGTGAACTTCAGGGCTCTGGCTTCCCTTGGAAAGTCAGAAGCTAGGGTAACTCCCAGTTCAGCAGCAAAAGAGCAGCCACCGCACTCTGAGGTGGGGGTGTCCTCCACTGCACCCAATTCTCACCTGCGGGAGCCCCAAGCAGCTGATTCTGTGCGTCACCCAGACCTGTCAGGTCCCCAGGATCCCTCATGGCTCTAATCTGCAAAGGGACCTGGGATTCCATCCTTATAACTGTTGCACTCGCCAAGGGGATTGGCCCTGGTCCCAGGGAAGAACGGGAGGACCTGGGACTCAGCCAGGGTGATACCTTCCCTTCTTCCCACAGCCCGAACTTTTGAAAAATGTCATCACCATGATCCTCACTGCAGAGCTGCTGCCAAACCAGAACAGTGAGTCCCGCTGCCCCCAGCCCCTCTCCCCATGGGGCTTTGTTTTACTTCTTCTGCACCTGTGATCAGCCCTTCACTTGGTTCCTACCTCCTGGTCACTCTCTCAAACTCTACCATCTCCAGGGAGCCTTCCTGGTCATTCATCTGGAGCAACCACTGCCATCTCCAGCCTCCAGGCCCAGCTCCTTTACTAGCCAGTGCCAGGCCCTGTGGAGGGGGCAAGGCAGAGCCAAGCCTTGCGGGGCAGCCCGCAGGCAGGAGACAGTGAAGCCGCACTCCTACAGCACACTCGAGATGCCACAGGAAGCCCTAGGTCCACGTCCCAGCTCTCTCTCCTGGCTGCCTAGCCTGCAACAAGTTGCCCAGTCTTCCTGAGCCTTAGTTTCTCCATGCATGAAGTGGGAAAATAGAGGCCAGAAAGACACCTTGTATATAAGGGGCAGAGAAACTGGGCAAGCTGCACCTGACCTTTCCTAGCCATTGCTATAGCATGCAGCATGTTAATAGGGTTAGAGAGTAGGTAGCATTCCTCTGAACCCTGGTTTGAGGGTATGGGGAGAGTTAGTAACAAGGGCCAGCAACGCCTTTCTAAATTCCTTTTTATTAGAATGGGAAATCTCAAAGTATAGAAACCTCTGCTGTGGATGGTAGGAGCTAGCGATGGTTCCTGAGCTGAAGTGTGAGAAGTTGTGGGTGGTGCGCTTTGGGACAGCCAGAGGCTGGAGCCAGAGACAGAAGTGGGGAGATGAGGCTGGGCAGGTGCTGGAGCAGAGAGCAGGCAAGCTGAAGCAGAGCCCAAATCCGGATCCCAGCCAGGGCCTGGGAGTCTGCCCTCCCCAGCCCACCACTGCTGACCATATTTGTTATTCCAGGCAAACTGAGAACTGGAATCCCTGTGTCAATCATGAAAGCCTTGGGGTATGAGACAGCTAGCTGGTCTTCGGCCAAGGTGAGTGGTGTGTAGGCATAAACTGCCTGCCCAGCTGGGAAGGGCATCTTCCCACCAACCCCAGCCCGGCCCAGCTGGGGACATGTGGGACATGTGGGCTGTGAGCAAGCCCCTTCCCCTGGCGGGCCTTACCTCCTTATCTGCGGCTGGGCCATCGCACATTTCCACTTCCCTCATTACCATGTCATTCATTCATTCATTCATTCATTCATTCATTCACCCAGTCTCTGCGGGAGGCCTACCATGTGCCAGGGCTGCCTCTGAGTTCTTGAGGCTACAGATAGGAATGAAAAGAAACAAGAGAGGCAGGTACACAAACTCTGAAAGTAGAGAATTAGGCCAGTTCAGTAAGGGCTGAGAAAGAAGATAAAGCATGCTTGGAAGAGAGTGGGATAGCTGAGGGGAAATGCCGTGTCACATGGGACAGTCACAGCCATCTCTCTGAAGAGGTGACACTGGAGTCAACCCGTGAGGAGGTGTGGGATGGAGCTGGTGGTTAGCTGGGGTAAGTGTCCTGTCAGGATGAACAGTGAGTGAAAAAGCCCTGAGATGGAGATGTTTAACGTTCCAGGAAAAATGAGGAAAGTAGACCCGGATCTCAGGTGGCTCCGAGGCATGTAAACTAGGGGTTACACACACTCATGCACTACATAGCCAAATGGTCTCAGCTCTGTGAGGATTGAAATCTTATCCATCTTGTTCACACCTCTGTCTTAGTACTGCCAGCAAGGTGCACAGTAGGCATCCCATGAACACTTGGCATCTGCTGGGGGGCCAAGGGCTGATGCAGATTTTATTCCCAACAATAACCATGGCCCATCGCCACTGTGCACCTGCATCTCACCCCTCCTCACTCCCACCCCAGGCAGCGGGTCCCGGTGTAATCTCTGTAACACAATGAAACTGAGACCTCTGACCCCACGTCCCCTTCAAAGTCACACACCCAGCAGGTGGCTTTCAGCCCTCATAACTCCCTGCTTTGGGCTCCAAGCTCTGCACCAGCCAATGTCAGCAAGGTGCTCGTTGTAATTAGCCAAGCCTCAGCCAATTACTAAGCACCTACTGTATATAGACATAGTCGCAGCAGCAGACAGACAAAAACCTTTGCCTTCGTGGTGTTCCGTTCTACTCTAGGCAGATTAGCACTAAAGAAAACCTGCAGATGACTGGCCCGCCACCTTCCCATGACATGGTGTGCAGCTAAGGCTCCAGCAGAGGTGTTTGGTACCAAACCCTGGACTCTTACTGGTCCTCATGTGCCTAGAGCCACTGATTAGACTCTCCAACGGGGATGTTTGAGCCTGGAAGAAAAAAAAAAAAAAAAAAGCACAATTTAAGCTCACTAATTACATCTATTTCTATGTGTCATACTTTGCTCTGTTCCTTTCTATAGCTTATAATATCATGTGCTTTAAAACCCAGAAGGAAGAATGAACAGTGAGAAAGACACGAGCTGAAGCCAGGCTGAGGGAGAAAGGGTGACAGCAGTTGGGTGTTCCTTACATGATTCCTTCAACTCTGCTTGAAAATGGTTGCTGTAACATCAGAGCAGATCTAATAGGGCACAGTCCTCCTTGTCACACCTGGTTTTAAAGAAAAAAAAAAGCAGGCTTGTTAAAACTTTGGCTACTTAGGCCCCCACAGATACAGACAGCAATTTGCGTTTTATAAAGCCTCCTGGCGAGTTTCAGTTGTGGGCTGGGGTTGGGGACAGCAATCCTGCACAATCCACCCACCACACACAGGTAGTACACCTGTGCCTCAGCCACTGCAGGGCGCTGTGCAGACCTCTGTGCCTTCCAAGAATTCAGCATGAGGGACTGCAATGTTACGACCACCCCCAAGGCCTGTGGTCACCTTGCGGGGGACAAAGCCAGCATAAAGCATAGCAAGGCAGGAAGTTAAAACAAAAATGACTTTTCTCCTTCAATCCCAGGATACTCTCCTGCTGACCCCAGACTCAAACTTCCTCTAGACCTGGAAGCTCTGCTCCCCAAGTACGACTTGGATGGTGGCCACCCGGCACCCACCCAGTCACAGCTGGGTGTGTTGGAGCAAGCTCTCCGTGCCGCTCCTCTCTGCCACCAATAAATGCTTGCCTATGGCTCCTGCTGTCTGGAGTGTGGCTTTGTCCCCACACAGGAGTCATTTGCGCCTGGGGGGGCTTGGGGACTGGTCATCTGATCCCATCTCAGCAGGTCTGGGCACTCTCTGAGCTGTGTCTGGCCACATTAGGCCATATAAGAATGACTCCACAGCCCTCAGGTGTCAGGAGTAAGAAAGCCAGCTCTTCTGAGCTGCCTTCAGGGCTAGCTAGCCCTTTGGAAAAGGGATACACATGTTGTTCATCTTGATGGTCCAAGCACTCTGACCCATGTGGTTCTAGGACTGATTAAGTAGGCACTGAGTTCTGCCCTGGCCTCTCTTCTCTGTAAAATAGGGAAAAGCATAGTTCCCATGTGGTATGTAAACAGTGTCACCTGTAGGTGACGTCATCATCATTTGTTACCTAGCTTCTGGGGTATTGAGTGTTTTCCATCAAAAGCAGTTGGGGGCCTGGCCCTAGCTCAGTCCTTTAAGTGGCTGCTTCCACAAAGCTGTCAGCCTCAGGTTGCTGGAGTTCGAACCTCACAACTCTCCCGCTAGCCAAAAGTGCCCTGAAGGCATTCGAGGAACAAAAAAAAAAAAAATCCTTATTCCATCAAAGGCAGTTGCTATTCAGACAGCACATGGCTGCCATTGCCCCCACCCCCACCACCTTGCCACCCTGATGCCAAGAGGTTTGGAACAGACAATAGGCCCCTGTTTCCCAGCCCAATTCCACCCCAGAACCCAGAGTCCATCAGTGACACAGGGCCCTTGCAGGAAGAGAGTGGATAGGCATTTCCAGAAAAGGTGTTACTCAACTTCATAATGCAAAAAGCAGAACAACACTTCCAGCCCCAGGGAGAGCAGGAAGAAGCTTCTTCAGTCTACAGTGAGATGGGCCGGGCCATGCAGGACATTTGGGGCCAGGCCCAGACTCTGAACCTGGCACTCACATTGGCTTCAGCCAAAGCTCCCAGCACAGCCCTGACTCTGCAAGTGCTTTGTAGCTGAGGAGTGGGTAGGAATTTGCTCCCTACACGGTACATCTATTACCTTTTTAAATCTTATTAAATCTAGGTCTGAGCCCGACTCACAAGGCAGATGGCAGAGTCAATCCCAGACTGCCCAGAGGGAGGGAGGCTTCCTGTGGCCTGGAACCTGGGCAGGCCTCTGGACATTGGTCTCCTTGATCTCCATGAAGGGGACTCCATCCCAGCCCCATCACTGGGACCACCCAGGGACAAAGGGTTCTTCTCCAAAGCACAGATGGCCCTAGGTTCCAGGTTCTAGACCTGGGCTCCCCAGGGGCTGATGATAACTCCAGCCTCCTCCTTCCTGGGCAGGGACAGCTCCAAGGCCTGTGCTACATGCTGGCTTCTAGAGCTCTGGGTGGACGGGCCAGGCACACTCAGTGGCAGCTGGCTGGATGCCACACCTGCCCAGCCATCCCCTTCCCTGCTCACTCCCTATCCTGGAGCTGGATCATCTCTTGCACCACAGAGGACCCAATCCCAGCCTCACAGTCTGTTTCCGGGAATCTAGCCAAGACACGCATCTGCTCCATGCAAGTAGTGCTGGATGCATCTTACTGAGCTCTGCTCGGCCACCTCCTATGACCTGCAGCAGGTCTTTGCCCCCAATCCATGGCTCACCAAGGATCTGAGGCTCTGGCAATGCCCCATCCCACCCCGGCCCTCCCCACTGCCCATTGCCACCTACTCTCCCCTCCTTCGTCACCCACCCTTGGGTCCTTCCACACAAAGAGAAGGAAAGGGGCTGCTCCTCTACCAATTTCAGAAGGGAAGAAGCCTTGGAACGTTCCCCAATATCCCATCCCAGTGACTCAGTCGAGGCAGTTCACCCCAGAGGCCTCTCTACCCCAGGCAGCAGGCCAGCACATGGTGGTAAAACTGAGGCCCAATCCACAGAAATCGGGGGAACCTGATAATTCTTAAACCATCTTCCAACCCCAAAAGTCATGAATTTATGAATCTGAGTTTTTTTAGGTTTTTTTTTTCAGAAAGCATAAAAAAGTGAATTTATTTAACCATACTCAGCTGATAATACAGCAAGTAAGTGAATAATTCATGCTATAGCATGCTGAATGAACTGAAAACAAGTTGGTTGGAAGGAGGCAGAGGAACTTTGTCTTGTAAGAATCAGAACCGAGGGGCTCCATAATCATCTGGCATCCATTCAATGTTGTATCTGTGATTAGAAATGTACATGGTAAGAACTCCAGGGCCCTCCTGGATTCTCCGTTTAAGGTCCCACAATGTAACACTTGTGCTGAGTTACTCTCGGCACTAAGCAGTCATCTGCGCAGGTCCCTTTATGTGTGCGAGGTAATCGTTCAAACCGTGGATCCTTGGCAATCCTTAGGGCCACTCGATACTTCTGTCCCAGTTTCTCAACTTCCGCCGTTACACAATCAGTTATGCCAGGGATACACTTGGCATACAGACAGTCCATCATTGATTATATCAAGTCCACTTGGGCTTTGGTGGAAAAGTTGATAAAGTTGGTATCAACCAGGCTAGAAGGTGGGCCCAGCCGTGTGCAATACCGGAAGAATAAGCAGGAAGGGTGTTGGGGGACTTCTCTTTCCTTTAGAGCACTGGGATCTTTCTTTTCTTTCTTTTTAGGTTTTAATCTATCCTTTTCTTTGAGTCTCTCAGTCTGAGACTGAGCATTCATTTCATGGCTGCATATTTTCTTGCTTTCTTTTTTTCCCCATGTTCACACCGCTGTCCTGTTTCTTCCCTTTTTTTCTTTTTTAAGTCAGGGTCTCACTATGTAGAACAGGCTGGTCTTGAACTAGCAGCTGTCTTCCTGCCTCAGCCTCCTGAGTTCTGGGATTACAGGCCTGCACCACTACAGCCGGCAACTCTGAGATTTTTGAATCTTTTATTCCACTCAAGCCTAGAATCTCACCCACTCAAGAGGCTAAGGCAAGAGTATGTCAAGTTCGAGATCAGCAGGGAGAATTTAGCGAGATCCTATCTCAAAATTTAAAAAGTTTAAAAGGGGTAAGGGCATAGTATAGTGCTCCCTGCATTCAATCTCCAGCAACAAAAAACACAATAATAATATCTTTTTTTTTTTAGAATATCTGAAATTTTTAATCCTTTCTTTACAGGTTACTAGATCACTTTTGATTAAGAAAACTGTAGAAAGTTAGTAACTGCCACAAGTGAACGCCAAGTGGTGGCACGTGTCAATTTCCACAGTCCTGCTTTGCGGGATGTCTGAATGCACTGCGCGGGGTCTCTGCTCACACTTGCTGGAATCATTTATGGCAGATTTTAGTCCACAGGTCGCTTTTCCCCATATTTCTTTGTAAACCCTTCAGCATTCTTACAGAATTTTTTACGGTCCTTAGAGTATTCTTCAGTTAGGTCAGCCCGGAGCGGGTGCTCAGGCTGGGGGTCATTCACCAGTGCTATGAGAGACTGGATTACTTGGTCGGTCTTGGTCGCTGGCTTCCAGTTCTCAGGACTAATTACCGGCAGGCAAACTTGCCCTTTTTCATCAATGTTTGGGTGATAGACCTTTGTTTTAAATGTGATCTTCGGTGGTTTGAATGGATACTCTGCTGGGAAGTTGATTTCAATTCTAAAGGCCCCCTTATCATATGGAGGGTTGTCCTTCATCAGCCTCCTGCTGGCCGCCATCTTGGATCTGGTGCTGCTTACAGTAATAATATCTTGGTCACTACATGCTACAGAATCCTATTACCATGGTCATTTGCTTTTGATCTCAAAGTGAGAACTTTGGAAGCAGGAACACTAGCCTTACATTTCCTGTGCACCTGCTGTCACACCCTCTGTCCCAGGTGTCTCCAAGGGAAGAATAACCAGGAATGGTAGTACATGGCTATAACCTCAGCACTCAGGAGACTTAGGTAGGAGGATTGCCATTGTTCGAGACCAGCCTGGACTACACAGGGAGACCCTGTCTCAAAAAATAAATAAATAAATAAACAAACAAATGCAAATCCAGGTGAAGGTGCCTGAGTTACGAAAGAAAAGAAAATGAATCACAAGGAAACCCTATGAAAAATCAGCAAGCCATCTAGATAAGAGTCACAGCCCAGCCACAGGATGACCACAATGGACATAGCTATGCAGTGGTGGGTGCTGAGACAGCCGGCTGTGTGTACTCACAGTGCGCCAGGACTGTACCTCACAGGACCTCTGCCCGGCAGAGCAGTCAGGAGGGCAGGCTGGGTCCTGGAGCCACGCGGTGTAGAAACATCAAATACCCTTTCCCTGAGGCCACTCCTCCGCTGGTCTGAGCGCCAAGCCCAGCCTTACCATGGATGTGTTGTGAGCACTTGATCTCTCTGAGTCTAAACCTCATCATCTACTGGCTCTTCTCCCAGCCAGTCAGAGTTCGCCTGCCATCCCCCAGGGCTGAGCATGGCCCTGCCCTCCTCTGACGCTCTCTGTGGCTCCCCAGTTCCCTCAGGAGCACCTCCAACCCCTCACCCTGACATGCAAAGCCCTGCATCTCCACCCTTTTTTCCCTGCCACCACCCCATGCCTCCCTCCTTTGCTTGCCAGAGGCTTTTCCTCCCTTCAGCATGGGGGAGCTTGATTCATCCCGGAAAGTAAAGTTCAAACACAGCCCCTTTGGAAATTCCTCTTTGTTTCCCAGTCAGACTCTCTTTTTTCTGAGCTCCCACAATGCTTTGCAAATTTTTTTCTATGGCCTTGAAGCAATATATTTATCCTGTCTGTCTGGCTGGCTGGCTGGCTGGCTTTCTGGCTGGCTGGCTGGCTGCCTCTCTCCCTAAGTTTTGCTTATGAACTGCTTGATGT